CCCCAAAACCCCAAAACCCCCGAAATATGTAATAATAGTATAATCAAAGGTATGCTAGTTATATTTAATTAATAAAAATGCAAGCGATAGAAATTCTTTTGTGGATGTCTGATCATATCTGCTTAACTACAATGTCATTCCTCCTAGCTGCATTCTTAGTATGGCTTAAAGTAACATAAGTGCATCAACTAGAGTTTTATCATCATCAAGAAACTAAGCACATCAAACCAGCATTAGAGAGTGATAGTTTTATGAAGACCAGCAAGTATAAGCAGCCATTAATACTCTTCAACAGTTTCCTGTAAAGCGTGTTTCATGCACTATTGGAGAAGCATTTCTAAAATCCTTAGGTCGAGTTTCTACACGAAAGCTATTAATTTAAAGATGGTGGAGCAGTTGCTCTTGATTGGATCAATTCCTTTCCAAATGAGAATGATAAAAAACCAATTTTGATAATAAGTCCTGGCTTTACAGGAGATAGGACCTCTGCATATATGTATGGTATGTATAATAAGGGACTTTAAGATGGATACTATCCAGTTTGCCTTAGCTTTGAAGGCTCCACAATCAGACCTTTAACAGTAAATTAACTATATGAATAATTCTTTATAGCATCCTAGACTGTTTAAAGGTTGGAGTGGTTAAGATATTTAAGAACCCCTTGAATATTTGTTCAAGAAATATTGCATAGACCAAAATAATCAAAGAAAGAGACAAGTATTCTTTATGGCAGTCTCATTTTCAGGAACTATTTTGACCCACTATCTGGGAGCAGAAGGTGATAAGCACAAGATTATAACTGCAGCTGCTTCAGTATGCACTTAATAGAGACAATGGATTAGTAATATTACTTTGGATAAGTCATATTTTGGTTAAACCAAAAAGTTTTTTGGTGTGTTTCTTAGAGATATTTTTGCAAACAATGTTGGTGTTTTGAGAGATTTATTTAAGAAAGAACATGATTTAGACCTTGATGCATATGTGAAAGACAAAAAAGGAGTTGATGATTACATACTTTTGATTGCGAAGATGAATAATTTTCATGATTTAGATGATTACTATAAAAGGGTATCTATGATACATTCTATTCCTAAAGTTAGAGTACCTATTTTCTATATTTATTCAAAAGATGACCCAGTTATTGGTCATGATCATATTGATTTTAAAGCGTGCTAAAATAACCCTTATATTCTACTAGGCATTACAAATAAGGGGGCGCATGTCTGTCATGTTGAATCAATTTTTAAACCCTCTATGTGGTTTGCTAAACCTGCTATTGAATTCTTAAATTCTTATCGTGTTGACTTTTGAAAGATTTAATTAGAATAAAAAATAGCTTTTTGATAATTAAAGATTTATTAATTAATATGATGATATATGTGATTAAGCTTCATGGGGTTTTGGGGTTTTGGGG